CCACACCACACACACACACACACGCAGCGCACAACACACAACTAACGCTGCGACTCGTTCAGACGACGAAACGTCACCTACGCGACGCTTCTAATGTCCGTCGCGCATCATCTCTGCCTGCCTCCTTGCTGCTTGCCTTTTTCTCTCTTTCTTTTGCATCCTCTCTCTCTCTCTGCTTCGCTCACTCTGAGGATCTCGTCTCTCTCTCTCGGTCTCTCTACTGCTGCTGCGCCCGCCTTTCGCAGAGAGAGCGCGAGAGCGGCGAAAGCGCGCGAGGAGAGAGAAAGAGCGCGGCGAAAAGAAAGAGAGAGAGCGAGAGAGAGAGAAGAGAGGCGCGCAGAAAAAAGAGAGAGAGAGAGAGAGCGCGCAGCGTGAGAGGGAGAGAGAGGGAGACAGAGAGAGACAAAAAGAGAGAGAGAAAAAGAGAAAGAAAAAGAGAAAGAGATAGAGAGAAAGAGAGAAAGAGAGAAGAGAGAGCGGAGGAGAGGGCGAGAGAGCGAAAGAGCGAGGGAGAGTAGGCGCGTGAGAGAGAGAGAGAGACGCAGACAGGATGGCGAGACAGTAAGAGAGGGAGAGAGAAAGAGAGAGCGAGAGAGAGAGAGAGAGAGAGCGGGTATACAAGAACTTGCGCACGAGAGACGAGGTGTGGCGTTAGAATGGAGTGTGTGAACGAGCCGGGAAACAAGGACTGTACCAACAGGAACTTTCGCAGGAGGAGAGTTTGTATAGGGGGCGCGCGTGCCCTAGAGCACCCGAACGACTTTGCACGGCGCCGTCGCGAGCAAGGAGAGGTTCGTGGTCTGCTATACTGTCTATAGCAATGTGCTAATACCTGTGCCTAATAGCGCTGTGCTATACGCTGTCCTATAGCCTGTGGCTATATGCGCTGCTGCTGGCGGCCCGGCTGTGTGCGCTGCACAGGGGAATCTCACATGGCCGCTGGTTGGCTAGGAAGAGGGGAAGATGAGGAGAGGGTGAGGAGCCGAGGAGGTGCGTGAGGCGGCGGGAGAGAGATGGGGGAGCGAGATAAAAATGAGAGGAGGTGTGTGAGGCGTGAGAGGGAGAGTGTAGGGGATGAGGGAGAGGGAGGAGGAGGTGCATGAGGCGGCGGGAGAGAAGGGGGAGCGAAGATAAAAAGAGAGGAGGAAGTGTGTGAGGCGTGAGAGGGAGGAGGTGTAGGGATGAGGATAGGAGGAGGAGGTGCATGAGGCCGAGCGGGAGAGAGAGGGAGGGCGAGGTTAAGAGAGAGGAGGTGTGTGAGGCGGGGAGAGCGAGGAGGTGTAGGGGTGAGGGAGAGGGAGGAGGAGGTGCATGAGGCGGCGGGAGAGAGAGGGGAGAGCGAGGGTAAAGAGAGAGGAAAGATGTGTGAGGCGTGGAGAGGGAGGAGGTGTAGGGTGAGGGAGAGGAGGAGGAGGTCCATGAGGCGGGGCGGAGAGAGAGGGGAGCGAGGTAAAGAGAGAGGAGGTGTTGTGAGGCAAGGAGAGAGAGGAGGAGGTGTAGGAGGCGGCGGGAGAAAGAGGGGAAAAGCGAGGTAAAGAGAGCGGTACGGAGAGCGAGGTAAAGAGAGAGGAGGTGTGTGAGGCGTGGAGATAAAGGAGGTGTAGGGGTGAGGGAGAGAGAGGGAGAGGAGGTGTAGGAGGCAGCGGGAGAGAGAGGGGGAGCGAGTAAAGGAGGCGACGGAAGGAGAGGAAGAAGGTGTTAGAAGATGGGGAAGGCGTGGCATGGGAGCGAGGTATATGAAGGAGGTATAAAAGGTAGGAAGAGGCCCATTATACATCTCTCATCTCTCCCTCTCTTTTCCCGATCTCTCGCTGCTCTCTCTCTCTCCTCTCCCCCTCTCATTTCTCTATCATTTTCTTCCTTCTCTCTTTCCTTCGCGTCTTTCTCTTTCTCATCGCTCTCTCTCTCTCTCCCTCTCTCGGCTCCTTTCTCTTGCTCACTCCGCCTTCTCCCTCTCTCAGAGATCCGTCCCCGCATCACGTGCGTGCTCGTCCCGCTCGCTCTCATTGTCGCGGCAAATGTTTGCCTTTGATGGGTTTAGGCACCCACTTAGCTAAGCATGAGAATGGGTTCGGGCGAGCGGAGAGATGCGCCATTCACGAGAAGAGCGGCGAGAAGAGAAAGAGGAAAGAGAAAGAGAAGAGGAAGAGAGAGAAGAGAGAGAGAGAGAAGAGAGAGCAGAGATGAGAAAGAGACGAGAGAAAGAGAGAGAGAGCAGAATGGCAGTAGAGTAAAAGAGAAGAGTTGTACATGAATGGGGAGGGAGCGATGGTAAGATGGGGGTGAGAGGAATGATGGGAGGAAGATAGGTAGCATAGGGCAGCGGCGGTGGAAAACGTTGGGGAGATCGGTGGTGCAAATAGAAGAGGGATGGCAACGAATGGAAGGAGGTAGGGTCGATAAAAAAGGGAGGAGGAGGTAGCCGTGGATGGAAGGATGAAGGGAAGCGTAGGGAAGACTTGATACACTAAAGATCGTTGGCGTGCTCTGTAGAGACAGTGTAACACATGTAAAGGAGTAGAGGAGTGCTTTGAGATGAGGTATGAAGTCATGCGGTGTACGATTAGGGTTGTGAGTCATCGCTTATGGATGCTGTTCGCATGAAATAGAGTCGCGTTAACTGAAGGTCGAACCAAGGGTTAGAAAAAGAGGTGGCGGAGAGAGACAGAGAGGAAGGGAGAGGGCGAGAGAAGAGAGAGAGAGAATGAAGACGAGAGGAGGAGATGAGAGAGAGAGAGAGGAGAAGGTGAGAAGAAGGAGGAGGAGAGACGATGGCGAGAGATTAGAGCCGTGGGGTTGGTGACGTCGGTCGTCTGACATGACGATCGAGGTTAGTGTGTGTTGCGTGTGGCTTGGGTGTGTGTGTGTGTGTGTGTGTGTGTGTGTGTGTGTGCTGTGTGTGTGTGTGTGTGCGTGTGTGTGAGTGTGTGTGGTGTGAAGTGAGTGTGTGGTGTGTGCGCCGCTGTGGTGTGTGTGTGCGTGTGCGGTGCGCGTTGCGCGTGCTGTATCCTGTGTGTGTGCGCGGTAGCCGGTGCGTGCGTGGCGTGCTGCGCGCTGTGTATGTGTGCCTGTGCGTGCATGGCGTGATGTGTGTGTATGTGTGTGGTGAGTGCTTTGGGATGATCAGCCCTTTTGCGCGAAACGCTGCGAAAGGATCTATGTATCGTTTTCACTCGCTACACCTGGGACGAACAGCTTAATTCGGATTAGATTAGCGCTTATAGGGCTCACGTTCTCACGTCCATGCAGCCAGTAGGCAGTAGTAGCAGCAGCAGCAGCAGCGCAGTCAGAGCAGCTAGTCTAGCAGGCAGCAGTAAGCACGTCGAGCAGCAGGCAGCGTAGCAGCAGCAGCCAGCGCCGAGCAGCGAAGCTAGTTGTAGTAGTAGTAAGTTAAGTAGTAGTAGTAAGTAGTAGTTAGTAGTAGTAGTAGTAGTAGTAGTAGTTAGTGAGTAGTATACTAGTATAGTAGCCAGCAGCAGCAGTTAAGCCGCAGGAGCAAGCACAGCAGTAGTGTAGTAGTAGGTCAGCAGGACAGCAGAGCAGTAAGTAGTAGTTCACAGGCAGCAGCAGGAGTTAGTAGCAGCGAGCGCGCAAGCAGCAGCAGAACGCACCCCACCACGGCAGCGGGCGGCGGCAGTAAGCAGCAGGCACTAACAGCAGTAGCAGCAGTAGTAGGCAAGTCAGGCAGCAGCAGCAGCAGCAGCATTTCTCTTCTCTCTCTCTCTCCTCTCTCTCTCTCTCTCTCTCTCTCTCTCATCTCTCTCTCTCTCTCTCTTCGCCTCTCTCTGTCGCTGTCTCCCGCCTTCTTCTCTCTCCCTCTCTAATTCACTCTCGCCCATTGCGCGCTTTTGCGTCGGGTTCAAATCGTCGGCTCCTTACCTAATATTAAAACTATTTGGTAAGACAATGTAGAGCAGAGTAGCGAGATTTAATGAGAATATTAATGTAGTATTATAAAAGATAATATGTCGTTTTAATGCAGATAATATGTCGTTTTTTTTGTTTAATGAATACTTAATCCTCGTTTTTAATGAGATATTATCTCGTTTTACATGAGATAATTATGTTCGTTTAATGAGATAATATGTCGTTTTAATGTGATAATTTCTCGTTTTAATGAGATAAAAATATTTCTCACATGTTCCACTTCCCGGGCTCCAGTATTAGTAGCGAGGTACAGCTTCATGCCATGAGAATAATTATGTATATTAATGGGAGCGATCGCTGTAGTCCTACCGTGTATTTAACAAGGCTCGGCGGCACACGTGAAGTATTTTACTCAAGTAAAATATGCATGCAGTCATAAATACTTCAAGCAAATATTTTCACGCTGTCCGGCCGCCACAACGTGAGTAAAAATTACTTCAAGGTTGTAAAGGTGGTAATGCTGATTCACGTGACTGTGCGCCAGCAATACTGGGCGCAGTCATCTTTAAAATTATTAAACGCATACGCTGTGAGTACAGTGTTTGAGTAAATTTGACGCAGCTAGCGAGGCGCACACGGTTGAGTATTTTGACGCATGAGTCAAAAAATTATCAAACATGCTTTGATATTGAGTTTCTTGATGCAAACAAAATCCGGGCGACACGACGTGAGTATTTTGACGCACACGCACGCACGCACGCACGAACGCACGCAGCGCACACAGACCACACACACCACAGCACACACACACACACACACACACACATACACACACACACACACACACACATCACACACATGCAACCGCTCGCCGACTAGCAAGTGTCGAAAGGTTTTTAAACAGTATGAGTAACAACAATGGTTTACCGCCAACTAAGAACCATTTTAACGCCGCTATCAGTATGCATTATCACTATGCTGGTAGGTCAGTTAGTGCAGACGTGTAAGTGTGAGATGTTATGCTGATAACTGTTACCTAGTACTCATATATATATATATATATATATATATATATATATATATATATATATAATTTTTAGATACGGACTATAGATATTTGATCATCGTCTTACCTGCTTTCGGTCCGTATGTGTCCCAATCGAGCAGTCGAACGTATATAATAACATGCAAATGCGTGCGGATGTAAACCTGACCACCTGACCTGTGCTGATGTGTGCCACTGTGCGAGCGTTTCTGCTCTGTTCAGTGAGCGCTTCGTGAAGGCGTGTCTGTGCGCATGCAGGTGCGCGCGCTTGGAGAGATGGGCATCCGCGCGCAACGATGTCTTGCAGGTAAGTGGGATATTTTTGTGGCTACAGCGAGCAGGTTCCAGCAACAGCAGCCGTCGACTTATTGTTCACCGCTATCCGTTGCAGCGCTGACCCCTTCGCTGGCACCGAACGCCATGAAAGGGCAACTTTCATGTGTGCGACGTTACGTCCGTAGTTCTGTGTTTATGTTTTGTGGCAATACCATTCGAGTGTGCTATTCTATTCGACGTTATATATGTATAGTGGATGCCTCTCATACAACTAGAAATCATAAACCGTTAGATTCTTTATGTGGCACAAGTTACGTGCGCAAGATTAAAAGGCCTGGATATAGATTCTGACGTCATTTAGCATAAATTAAGCGCATATAGCGCATGTACAGAAACTTTCCAAGTATTTTTAAAGAATATTTGTGTCGAGCTTCTCGCATAGCGGAGAAACTCCGAGGCATAACGCAAATCTATACAATACCACTACAGACTTTGAACAGATTCAACGCGAATTCATTGAGCTCGGTGACATTTGTCGGCCTAATTAGTAAAATACCGTGGAGTAGCTCGACTTATCATGCCTCATACAAGCTAGCGCTACAGTAATGTAACAAGATTTACAGCAAAACTGTCGCCTAATAAAACAAACGTTTCGTTATCGAGAGAAATACCACAATCAAGTAATTACTGTGTGATCATGCAGTTTACACGAACGCAGCGACAGATGCCATCATGCCAGTAACAATGTATTGGGCCTGCTATAGGCATGATAGCCGATTGAGTAACACGAGATGGAAAGTTGGATGAATATAGAGTCGTTTCACGAAGAAGTACCAGCGATTGGCTGATTGACCTCGTTTTGATGACGTGATGTGTCATTGTTTTGGCTGGATGAATAATCTGGTCAGGAATAGCCCGGCTACTGGTCAAGTGTCTTCTGTCGCTCGAGTCAGACTGCGCAGTTAGTATTTTAGCCAAGGAGCGAAGAGCGAGGAAGATGCTTGCTCGTTTGGTTACTGAATTTTGTGATAATGTCGTAAAATTACGTGACGTGAAGGAGGCAGAGACGCCCTGTTTTGGGAGTTCGTGTGTAAGAGCGGCGCGCGTATGGATTACGGAAAGAGATAGAGCGAGAGAGAGAGAGAGAGAGAGAGAGAGAGAGAGAGAGAGAGAGAGAGAGAGAGAGAGAGAGAGAGAGAGAAACCAGTAGAGTAGTTCAGAGAGTAGAGAAAAGACAGCATGAACTACCCGGTCGAGTGTAGTTATGCGGTTGTAGTGATCTTGTGTTAGAAGCGTTAATATATTTGAATTGGTTTGGTTTGGAGAAAAGAAGCTTGCTAAGAAGCTTGTTAAGAAATGTTGTTTTAGGAGTAAATATTATTTTGCGAAATTCATTGTATAAATTCTTATTGTCTTATTATTTTTCTTAGTTTTAACAGCTTATCTATAAATCTAGTGAAATTACCTATGTAGTTGTGGTCTCCCGAGTACAATTAACTGGCTATGTGCCAGTCAAACAATTTCCAATACGTTATAATGACAGAAGTCTTTATATCCACAATGTGCTCATAATAATGTACGTCTTATGCCACTCAGTAGGATCACCTCCGCTTAAACACCAAATGCGTATGAGGTGCGATGCACACGGGGAGGTATCGCAAAAAGTGGTCGAAATTAGATGGGCCGCACGCCGCGCGATGGCATTTATGGAACACGGTTAAAAAAGGGCGACGTCGCGTTTGAAAACGGGCGACGTCGCGTTTGAAAAAGGGGCGACGTCGTGGTTGAAAAAGGGTGACGTCGCGTTTGAAAAAGGGCGATGTCGTAGTTGAAAAAAGGCGACGTCGCGTTTGAAAAAGGGCGACGTCGTGTTTGAAAAAGGGCAACATCGCGTTTGAAAAAGGGCGACGTCGCGTTTGAAAATGCGCGACGTCGTGTTTGACAAGGGCGACGTCGCGTTTGAAAATGCGCGACGTCGTGTTTGACAAGGGCGACGTCGTGATTGAGGAAGGAATAAAAAACACGACGCGCCATGGCAATTTTGGAACACCATAATTAAGCGCAGTATACCAATGTTGCAGCTACGCCCAGTGCTGTCAATGCGCGTTTACAAATAATTATTGTTTCTACCGATAGACGGCGGGACGATGGCATATTTGACTACGAAGCGTGAATATTGTATTCATACTTTCTGGAGTAAGTACACCTACAGACGCTGGATTTTATTCGCTCCTGATATTATACCTGTTTATCTTGTTTTCTGTTTTTTAATGCAACTACCCAACGACATTATCAGTGGATGTTTATACTTGTTAGTGCTATTTGATAGTGAACGCGTCAATAATGCAATACATTTTATATGTATTAGGGAGAACCCTCTGTCGTCTGTCCGGCTTACAAATGCAGTCTATTCTTGTCAGCCAATCACGGCGCGACCTGGACGCGGAAGGACGACAGATTATTTAGGTTATCACAATATTTTGGCTACTGACTACGTGCAGGTACATACGAGGGGGAGTAATGCTTGCAACGCGTGCGGACAATATTGGCCTTGGCCTTCAGACGACCCTGACTATAGATCCCGAAACGCATAGGACTGACATCTAATCGGTTCTTTCGTTGCGCATTCGTGCATCCTTGACTCTAGCTCTACCCGTGTAACCGTGCCTGCGGCGGAGCGCATTCTTGTTATAATCTGTTAAAATCTTTCCGGATTTTTCTTTATTTTCTGTCGCTGCACGGTTCTTATGCATATCCTATATAATATTTATTTATCAGCATCACCGCACACATAACCTACATTATGGAGCATACAAATATATACAAATATTGGCGCCTGTCTCATGTTTTAAGACTAGTTTATTATATCCATATCTGATTTACATCAATCCACCATCTATGGTGATAAACAAAACATTTATATCATAACTTGGAACAACTACGCATATACACGCATATATATATATATACATACACACACACACACACACACACACACACACACACACACACACACACACACACACACACACACACACACACACACACACACACACACACACACACACACACACACACACACACACTACACACACACACACACACACACACACACACACACACACACTAC